AAAGATTTTTTTTTAAAGCCCCTCAAATGCCAAAACGGTTTAAGCTTAAAATATTTGCATAAAAATATTTAAAAAAAATTTTGAACGGAATCGTAATGATGAGATTTTTGATGCTATTTTTTAACTTTTTTCAAAGATTCGTATAGGAAAAACTTGAATAACTGAACCTAAACTCTTCCGATTTAGACTTAAGAGGTGTCCTCGGAAAGGTATTTTCTCACCCTTTTTATTTCTTTGCCAATAAACTCATTCAAAGGATGGAAGAGAAAGGTAGGATGAACGAACGTCATTCAAAGTTGAATTAAGTTGTGTTGGTATTCGAAAAAACAAGATAGGACACGAATGAGGGTTTTTTGGCCAGAAATAAAAAACAGTGTGAAAATACCTTTCCACCGATATCCCATAAGTCTACATCAGAGCCCTATTGGCCCAGTTATTCAAGTTTTTTGTAAACCAATCTCTGAAAAAAGTAAAAAAACAGCATCAAAAATCTCATTCCTATGATTCCATTAAAAAGATTTTTAAATATTTTTATGCAGATTTTTCAAGCTTAATCTAATTTGTCATCTGAGGGGACTTTTTTCAAAAAGTTCTTTAAGAAACTATTTTTATTCATAAAAAACTTCATTTTTGGAGGTATTTTCAAATCTGTCCAGCTCGCTTAAATCTTAATATTTTTCCGAAATATTTTGGTGGACGTCTTCAAATATAATAGGTTTTATAATCCGGGCGGAAAAACCGCAACTTTTTTTGGTGATGCAGTCTAATATACATACATGTCCAGGCGTATTTTTGCACTGTTTCGAAAATTTTGCATTTTGAAAAAAAAAAAAAAAATAGTAGCAACGAGTCTAATGTACAAAGTACTATGTTATTATATAAAAACTAGCTACAAATGTAAGTACTTGCTCCAGCAGAAATCGTTGATTTAGTTGAAATTTGGCACACATATTGACTATGTCCTGGAATATAATTTTCATTGCGAAATTTTATAATTGGAAAATATCCAGACCTTCATAACACTGAAAGTTGGACAGAAACAAGATAATCAGCTGAATAAGGGCATCAGGATGATCAGCATAATTTCTACTTTATCCTGCATATAAGACATACATTAACATTACATTAAGACATAAAGAAATACTTAGTAGAAGTTACTTAGTTACATGCGAGTACATTGTGGTAAGTGGAGTTGAGGTATAAAGACAATTATTTTGATAGCGCTAATTCTCCACACACCAGTAAGAAGTCTCCCATGCATAATGAACTGAATAGCTTCCCACCGCTACCATCTGCACTTGATGATCCATTAAAGCAGCCGAACTAAAGATATGATACATAAAAATAAATGTCCTACTTATGGTGCATTTTATCAAGAGCCCTGCGAAGAATTTCGAAGTAAACAAGCCAAGGCTTTTGTTAAACTTCTTTTATACGAGTATCATACACCAGACACTCATTCATTCGCTTATGTGTTTAGTTATTTAATACCTGAATGAAGACAATGGCTTTATGACCTTTTTTGTTTCTTAGAAGAGCTAATGTATGTATTAATGGAAGCTCCCATTATGTAGTGTGTGTGGCCTAATTCGGTTTTGACCTGCTGTTGCTTGTTTAACTAGCAAGCGAAAAGGCACTTGGCTGTGGTCAAATTGCGCGTAGGATATGACAAATCTTATAAATAGTACCTAATAAGAAAAAAGCCCATTAGTTTAGTCACAGTGCTTACATACATAGCCATGTGTATATTTTTGTATTAGTAAACTAAGTGGATGTAAGGCCAGCGAAGGTAAGGCTGCAGCATATGCTATGGTGAAAGTTATGTGTTTCATTTCGTTACTTTATGTAGGAAACCTGAGCGTATATGTGATATCAGAAAAAAAAGTTTAGTATTTAGGCTTCTGCATGGGCCAGATATTTAGTTTATTGGATTCGAAATGAAAATATCTTCTTTTTACTACATATGTACATTAGACTGCATCATTCCCCATACAAAAAAATGGCTACGGCTCATTCAGTTTAGTGTAAGAATGTGCAAGTTTCAAGTGGCTGAAAATTACCGTTGAATTTTTAGAATTATTTTGCCGAACGTGTTGCGGGAGCACTTAAAACGCAAAATTGTACGTAAAATGGTATATGTGATACGAAAAATGTAGGTTCTTAGGAGGGTTGGGTAAATAAGCGGGGAAGTACTTAAAAGAGGGATTTCGTTCAGATTACATTGAAATATTCACGGTGCACAAAAATTTTGGCGGGTTCCACTGTACCTCCAAAAATGTAGTTCTTTATGAATCAAAATAGTTACTTAAAGATTTTTTTTTGGAAAAATGACAAAACGGTTTACGCTTAAGAAATTTGCATAAGAATATTTATGAAAATTAAAAAAAAAAAAATTTCAACGGAATCGTAATAACGAGATTTTGTGATGATGTTTTTTAACCTTTTTCAAAGATTGGCATACGAAAAACTTCAATAACCGAACCTAAACTATTCCGATTTAGACTTGTGAGTAATGATTGGAAAGGTATTTTTTCACCCATTTTATTTCCTTGCTAATAAACTCATTCAAAGGATGCAAGAGAAAGGTAGGATGAACGAGCGTCATTCCGAGTTGAATTAAGATGTATTGGTATTTGATAAAAAGGGATATGAATAGCTTTTTTTTTGCACAGAAATAAAAAGAGTGGGAAAATACCTTTCTTATGATACCCCATAAGTCTAAATCAGAATAGCTTAGCAGTTATTCAAGTTTTGGGTAAATCAATCTTTGAAAAAAGTAAAAGAAAACAGCATCAAAAACCTCTTGTTACGATTCCGTTGAAAAGATTTTTAAATATTTTTATGCAGACCTGTTAAAATTAATCTGTTTTGTCATCTGAGGGGATTTTTTCCAAAAAGTTCTTGAAGAAACTATTTTTATTCATAAAAAACCCCATTTTGGTATTGAGGTATTATCAAATCGGAAAGACAGAGCTCATCGTCCTGTTCGCCAGCAGATAGAAAGTACCAAATACTCAGCTTCCCTCGATCGGTGGCATTACATTTGTTCTCTCAAGTATTTAGGTGCGATTCTATACAAAAGGCCAAGTTATGAGGAGTGGGTAGAAGAGGCATCAGTTGTTCTGTACCGCGTAAACGTACCATAGCAAAGAGCTCTGACCTCTCGCATAAGATAATATTTTTACTAATTGGGTTATTGACTGGTAGATTTCACTAGAAAGGTGAAGAAGTTAGAGTTCATGAAAACAGCGGCCGATAGAAGCGCTGGTTTCTCCATCAAGGAGGGAGGGTGCATACCAAGTTTGGCTCCGATGTGATCTTTCTCTACAAAAAATCGTTTATGAGGTGAATAGAGTGAAAGCCCCTGAAATAGAGGTTTAATTAACATTTTCAATGGTGGCCTGCAGTTATACCATAAAGTTGGAGCAGCTACATTCTGCTAGGAACTTTTCGTAAAGCTTCGTATTTCTGCATCGATTTTCAGATAAAGGCGCCGCTATGAAAGAGACAGTTGACTAGCTTCGCATCACTGGATTATATAAAAGAAGCGTGAACATCAATTTCGATAGCCAAGATGCAATCAAGGATTTAAAATTGCTTATGTTAGCCTTAGTTTTCGCCTTGGGCATGAACTAGCCGAGCAGAGGGCCCTTCCCCATTAAGGATCCGGACATTCCAAGTGCATGGCCGTAAATCGCAGTATTTTGCACGTTTACTGTGGTCCTCATAACAAACGGGGGCCTCAGCCGAGGCTTAATTTTTTTCTTAAGCCTAGCGCATAATCCATTGGCTGCCTTCTCAAATTGACTCGCTTCCAAACGGATTTTCGGCCGCTAACCAGAGCATACTTGGTGTAAACACTCACCGGAAGTGGTAATCTGCTTGAGTAAGGATGCAAAAGTGAATGACGATCAAAAACATTTCTTACATGAATGGACTTCTGCACCTGTTACCATCCTGCACGCTTTCTGAACTTCGGGCTGATAGACCTAGCCATTGGTCTAGGCGGCCGCCGTGGTCGAGTGGTAAGAGGTCTGCGCTACCATTCGGTAGGTCCTTAGTTCGATCCTTGATTCCAGCAACATCCAAACAAAAAAGTTTTTTTTTAAGCAGTCGCACCCCGCCAGGCAATGGCAAACCTCCGATTGTATTTCTGACATGAAAAAAAGCATTTCATGGAACATTGAAATCATTTGCCGTCCGGAGGCGGCGGCATACAACTGTATTGGGATTGGGATTGATTTATTCAGCGCACCGTTATCTGTTTTATTTTACTTAACTTTAGTTTATTTCACTTCTTTCACTTTATATATACTTTTTCCTTTGGCAGAAAATTCTCCTGCTCCATTCAAAGCATTATGTCCATTTAAGCGCAATGGCGATTCCACAAAAGGCGCAAACAAACGGTTCTTTGGTACCTTTGACCACTTCGTTAGCATTTTCCGGCAAGTAGTATTAATTAATTTTTTTTGCTTTTGAGATTTCCGTGCTCGAATTTTGCTTGAGTTGTCTTTGCAATGATTTACACCGGCATTTTTCCCTATCTACCTTTACTGATTTTCTTTGGCCGTCTTACATGCTATAAAAAGATACGTATTTATTTGTGAATTTAGTATTTTGAGCCAGTATTTCCTTGCCGTGCGCTAAAAATGGCGATTTTGTGTGCTATACTTTAATCGGAAGTTTTATTTGTTCGGGTAAGTAAAAGGCTGTTGAAAACGAATTGCGAACCAATGTTTTAGTTAAATTAAATCAAATTTGAATAACTGTGACCTTACGTACTAAGCGAGCACCGGATTTGCACCAATTGCCTTGCCCCGATTGGAGTGATTATGGAAATAAAATTCGACCGCCACTCAATTCATCACCTTCTACTTTCTAGGTGTTGATTGGAAATTTCACGCTCACTTGCTTTCTTAATTGCTTACTTAATTGATTGTAGTAGGTGGTAATCAAATATTCTATTCATGTTTTATTTAGCATAATAACACCACACTCACCTGTCGCACCGCATAGTAGCAGGTGAGGTTGCGCGGATAAATGCCCGGATAGTTGGGCGATTGCAAGCGACACGCCTTCTTGTCACAATCGCTGAAGATGCGCGAGCAATAAGTGCCAGGTATGAGATCGCCTGCAAGTAGAGGGGCGTAGTTACAATATACATAATGACTGTCTGCATGGAAAGCAAATTCTCTAAACTCAAATTATACGTAATTTTCAGTGATTGCTATCAAATTTCTTTTGCGAAAATTTTCTAAAAAATTTTTTAGTTACTCGACTCACCCAAATAGTATTTTGGCTCGGTGTAGTTGTGCTCATCTCTGTCGACTGCGCGTTGTAGTGAATTCGTAAAAGTTTTATTATTGGCATAGGCGCTGAACAAGCTGAAATCCTCTCCGTAACGATCTGAATGTGCGCCGCTGGAATTGGTAAAATCTTCGATTGCATTTTGATTTTGAAAGCTGCTGCGATTGTGCCAATGGCGTAGCTCTGTAAAAAGTGAAAAAAAAAAATGCTTTTACTTCTAAAATAACTTGAATAAGTATTTGTGCATATTGTTGGCACGAATGTACTTATGTAGGTGCATTTATGCGTGTTTGTATACGTATGTTCATATGTACATATGTATGCTTAGGACGACTTAATCGTTAGTTAATGCAAAATTTTTCATTTTCCTTTTTTTCGTAAACAATTTTGTGTGTAATCGAGCTTCTGCTTTCGAATGGCATTTTATTAATATTCCTTAATATTCCTTAATATTCCTCTTTTTGCTTGAATTCAATTTGGCAAACGATGCAAGATTTTATCTTTTGGCAAAGTGTTGGCAGGCAATATCGTAGCGAGGGCATTCTCACACTTTTTTTTTGTTTTTGGCTTTTAGTACGAAAGTACTTGAAATAGTGAAGTGAAGAAGCTATAAAACTCGTATAGATTATTTTTGTGTAATGAGAGTGTTGTCTTTACGGCTATTCCTGTATAGAAAGTTTTAAGATTTAAAGTTATTAAGGAATTTATTAATAGCTATGTAGCTGGGCCTACGTAGTGGAGTGCATTTCTGCTTTATTACCGTTCGAGTGGCGCAGGTCGGTGGCGAATTTCGAGCGGTGAACCAAATGAAATGGATAATTGAGTAGTTTAAGTAAATAACTGGCATCAATGTATTGTTTTTTTAAGCGCTACGTCTTAAGTTAGGTTAAGTTGGCTAGTCGCCCCCAGTTAGCGACACAATTGGGCATTATCGATGAAACATCGCTGGTGAATAGCGAAGTTCCGCAGAGGGCTTATCTATATCCATTCCTGAGAGTTCCTAAAGTTTAGCGTCGTGGATGTCTTGCTGCGTGAATTCCGATCGGACAAAATTCTTCCAAGATCGCTACCAATTAATTGAGCTGACATGTCGCCCATCTGTCCAGCCGTTTCCTAAGCGATGATATCGTTTCATGTATACTTTCTCATAATTTCGGAAATCATACAGTTTTCCGAAATGGCACGGGAACCTACTTCTCATGTACAAATGTATATACAAAAGTTTAGTTGGAACAAATTCCGACGTAATAGAAAGAGTAGACGTTTAATCCACTTATTGATGTCACAGATAATTTTTCCTCAAAAAGGCTACAAGATCCTTTGGCGTGTATGAAAAGCTAATAACTAAAGACTGCTTCGCCCACCCTTCTAAGTATAAAATTTCGACACATCCGGAAAAATATTCACTGCTCCCTCCCTTCAGTGGTGTTGATCAACCCTACCTAACATCAACGCAAAATGTAAAAAGAAAAATCTAAATTGAGAAATTTACGAGACGCAGTGATTCGTGTATTCAAAGAGGAAATCTAAACGTCTAAGAATCTTAATAGGCTTGGTAAATGAGTTTCCTCCCTCTTTTCTTACTGTTAGCTTTCCATGACAGCTTTCTATTATAGTGTGCTTCTCAGGTTTGAACCGGCTTGAAAATTGCAGGCGAACATCCCCTTCGAAGAAACACTTTATTTAGTGCCCTTCCGCTTCCAATTCAATAAGACCAGTTCTATCTTATTTGGATTGACGGTGAGGTAGCTATTTTACCCCTATTTCGCCGCTAAGTAGCTAGGGACTAGGTAACCCCGATCAGATACATGTTACTTATTCTAATTAAACTTGTATACCCTTCGGAGGTCACGTGTATTGGGCTTCGCATTCAAGTTCATTTTGTTTTCCAGCGTAATTCAATGCGAGAATTGCATTGTCAACAAGCTCGTTAACTCCTATTCCACTTATGTATTTTCCAAGAACTTGAGAATTGAATATACGTACATCGCATTAGAGTACTAAAGCATCTTCTCCAAGAGAGAAGTGACGATTTTCCTCATTACCTTCGACATAGACAAGAAGTCTGAAACTGTGTCAGTTTTGGAGTCATAAGTTAAGAGTCAACAATGTGTATTACACACACACACACACACACACACACATACACACAATGTGTCAGCATGGGCTAAGTGTGGTATCTCTTCAGAAAAGCAAATCGAGGCGTAGTTGTGAAGAGATCACCGTCGTTTTTAAGGAATTTCAGAACTACTTCAGGATTCTCGGGACTATTTCGGGATTACTGTGACTCTTTCTGTATGTTCTGGATTTTCAAGACCAGCTCTGGATATTTTCGTCTACTTCGGAATTTTCAGAACAGTTGTGACTACTTCGGCAGTCTCGGGATTGTGGAGACTATATCGCGATATTCGGTGCCTCCTCGGGATTTTCGGGAAACAATCTTGAAATACTTCCGAAAATTTCCAAATGATCCCAAGAGTCCAAAAATTTACGAAGTAGTCCCGAAAATTTCTAAAATCTTGACGTATTCCCGAATATCTGAATAATTCCCGAATATCCTGAAATCGTCCTGAGAATTTCGAAATAGTCTCTAAAATCCCGAAGCAGTCCCGAAATTCCTTAAAATATTGAAGCAGTTTCGACAATTCTGAAGTCCCAAAAATTCCGAAACAATACCGAAATATTGCTTAGAATCCCCAAATAGCGCAAAATGCTCAATCTCTGCTTTAAATTAATTTTGAACATTCCCACAAGAGCATTTTGAAATATTACATTAAAATGTATTTATTTAATAAAATGTTACCTGTATATATCGAGGACTTATATTCAGAGGGTATTTCATCTGCAATTTTCACAAAAACTACTTTGTGATGTTAGAACCCATCTGGGACTTACCTGCCATCGCTACGGTGACCATATTTATGAGAGCCGAATACGGGGGAAAAAATTAATTTTTCAAATTTGTACCACAACAGCTTGCAGATCTTAAAGCCTTCTTCAATGATCCTAGATCTATTAGCCCTGAAATAGTATCCTTATAGTAACATAACAAATGTGTAGGATAATTTTCTCGAGATTTTTACCCCGTAAAATTTGTTAAAAAAATTCGTTAAATTTTAGTATAATAAAGTGTATTTTTAAGTCGCTAAAGCTTATCACTTTATAATACTCAATTTTAATGAGTTACAAAACTGCAAACCAAATTTTTTTCTAAAGATTCTAATTCAAAAGATTGAAATTTTGGTGAAACCTTGCAGAATTAATTTTTATAGTTTTTTTGCACAAAGTTGAAAATTTGTATTATATGGTTTTTGTTAGGAAAATCGCTTTACTTTCATAAAATTAATAATAAACATTAAATAAACTAAGGAAAAATAGCTAAAACTTACTCAAATGTCGAGCCCTAATTTCTATTTTTGTCACTGTATGTATTCCTCGATTCGAATTCCAGGCATTCAGATTAGAAAATCATAACTGTTTATGGACAAAAAATTAGGATCATATAGCAACATCACTTAAAACTCGTTCATAGGCATGCCATTTTAATGAGCTGTTAAGGCGTCGAAACACCGAATACGAGAAAAATACAGGACATTAAGAGAAATGCAGAACATTTGGCGTCCCGTACAAAATAAATAAATTACCAGGAGAATGGGTCAAAAAAGAGGACTGTCCCGTAAAATACAGGACGGATGGTCACCGTAGCCATCACTGATAATAATTCTGACTTTGCAATTTAATAGTAAATTCTTCTGTCAAGCGTTATGCAAGGGTAGGTAGGTAGGTTGTCGCGGTCGTCTATAAGACACACTTAGGCTCAGGGCCCATTGTGATGCCGCATGTTGGGTCAGCAACTCCCAATCCCTCCTAAAACCATTTTGAACTTTGAACGAATTTTAGAAGATCCCTGATTTCGACGCATCTAAGGTCCTCCAAGTTGTCGAAGAATTGCCTACCGAGAGTGGAGAGTCTTCGTCTAGATAGAGCAGGGCATTGGCACAACAGGTGCAGAATCGTTTCCTCCTTCTTCATCTTGACAACTTCTACAGAAGTCATGTGAGCGTAGGCCAAGTCGATAGGCGTGTTTGCCAATTAGGCAGTGTCCTGTTATGACGGATACTAATAATCTAATATTGGACTTATTTAGACTCAGTAGTAGGCCAGTGCGTTTGGCGCTGAGCACCGGCCATAATTGTTTGGCAGTTTTGCAGGTGATTTCGTCCTGCCACCTTTCGTTCGCTACTTTAGTGAGCCTCTCGGAGATAAGTAGCTTACAAGTTTGCAAGGGTATTCCTATTTCGTCATTTATATCCTCAAAAGGAAGTTTCGTGCCAAGTCGCGCCAGTTCGTCGGCCTTACAATTCCCCTCTATGCCGCAGTGTCCCGGAACCCATATTACCTTTGGGCGAAATGACTCAGCCATCTCGTTAAGAGATGAGCGGCATTTAATGGCTACCATGGAGGTTGTCGACTGCTTCGTGAGGGACTTTATTGCCGCCTGGCTGTCAGTGAAGATGTAGATATCAACTTGGGGTATCATATCACACTTTACCAGTTTCGTGGCCCTGTCGATTGCCATCAGTTCAGCCTGAAAAACGCTACAGTGGTCCGGGAGACGAAAGCTGAGGGAGATTCCCAGGTGATGGGAATATACACCTCCTCCAACCCTACCCTCGAGCTTTGAGGCATCTGTGTATACATGGATGGACTCTCCACTACTTACAACGTCATGATTCCACTCTTCCGTTGAGGGTAGGAGGGTCGCGAACGCTGTAGCGGGTGCAGGTTCCGGAAGTGCATAGTCCACCAATCCGGGTAGCCCCGGAACTTCCGTTAATATTCTACCGTGACCATAACTGGTATTTGACCACTTATTTAGAATATTCATTCGAATTGCCGCGCCACTTGCGACTTGTTTGGCATGTAGGTCCACCGGAAGAAAATTCAGTAGGGCATACAGTGCCTTGGATGGTGTTGTTCTCATCGCACCAGTTATGAGTGTGGACGCAAGCCTTTGAACCTTGTCCATTTTTTTGAAGTTTACCCCTTTCCCAAGGGCGTTCCACCATACCACTATACCGTGATAGAGAATTGGCCTAACCACCGCCGTGTATAGCCAGTGTATTATTTTGGGTTCCATCCCCCATTTTTTCCCTATTGCTCTGCTGCAGGAATATAGTGCCACTGTTGTTTTGCGCACTCTACCGGCAACGTTGGGCCCCCAGTTTAGTTTCCTATCTACTATGAGACCTAGATATTTGGTCTCTTCCTTTATTGCGAGGGTGTTGCCCTCTAGAGTTATGTTCCCGAGATCAGGTATCTTGTGCTTCCTGGTGAACAGCACAAGGTCTGTTTTTTCAGGATTCACTCCCAGTCCTCGCCTGTTACACCACAGGGATAGTTTGTTGAGGGATCTTTGGATCAGATCTGTCAATGTTGAGAGATGTTTACCCGAGATAGCTATTACAATATCGTCGTCGTATGCAATTATCTGACCGCCAATGTCTTCAAGTTCCCAAAGAAGGCTGCCTACTGCTATGTTCCACAGGAGCGGTGATATTACTCCCCCCTGGGGTGTACCCCTGACGGGGAACCTTTTTATTACTGATTCACCTAATCCTGCGCTTATTTCTCGGCCGATTAACATTCGTTCAATAAATGAGGTTAGTGAATTGCTTACTCCCAGATTTATCAGAGATGAGATAATCGCTGCAGGAGATACATTGTTGAAAGCACCCTCGATGTCCAGGAAGGCCGCGAGGGTGTATTCTTTGTAATAAAGTGATCTTTCAATTGTGTGCACTAAAGAATGGAGTGCTGTTTCGACTGATCTCCCTTTGTTGTAGGCATGCTGGGCTGCCGCAAGTTTGCTGCCCACCTTGTCTGTAATGTGCCCATCTATTAGTCTCTCTAGAGATTTCAACAGGAAAGACGACAGACTAATTGGTCTGAAGTCTTTTGGTCTCGTGTGTGTAGTTTTCCCTGCCTTGGGAATGAAAACTACTCTTACCTCCTCCCATTTGTGGGATATATAATTCATTCGTAACACTGCTTCAAAGACTGGTACGAGTATGGGTGCAATCATTCCTGCTGTATGCTGTAGGTCAGCGGGAATAATGCCATCTGGTCCCGGAGATTTAAACGGTTGGAAGCTGCTAATAGCACGCTTTATGTTCTCCTCGGTTATGATATTCGCTGGAATGTCATCATGGTTGCCTATGATTCGGGTATTTGTGACTCTACTGTGGAGGCAACCCGGAAAGTGCGTCTGTACAAGAAGCTCTAGAGTTTCTTCGCTGCTAGTTGTCCAATCACCATCCTCCTTGATGAGACAGCTAATATTGCTGGGACTCATAGATAGTATTTTGCGCAGTCTGCTGGCCTCCGAAGTACTTTCTATCTTCTGACAGAAGTTCCTCCATGAGGAGGAAGCGTCTCTTATTGCCTACTTAAATCGGCGTTGCCAGTCTTTAAATTCACTCCAAGAGTTGGATCTCTTAGCTTCATTANTTGGGCAGGCTAATTTTGCTGCACGATGAAATGCTTTAGTTATATCGTCTACGACGTTATCAAGTTGATGTTCCGAGTTTATTTGATTTGTGAGGTCGGAAATATTATTAGAAAATATTGTTTCAAATTTTTTCCAACTTGTTTTTCTGCGGTTTAAGACCGCTTGTTGTTTTCTTACTGGTACGTATAGGTTATAAACGACGTACATGTGATCTGAAAAGGAGTTGTCTTTTGAGACTCTCCAGTCATTCAAGAGTTCTGCCCCCTGCTCATTGACACATGTAATGTCAAGGACCTCCCTATTATGCGTTATGCAAGGTCAGCATTAATATCACCGATGACAGTTAAGTCTTAGGTGGATTTTTATATAAGAAACTCATTTTTGTGAAAAGTGCATAAAAGTCCTCGATATGTAACATGCCATTTTTAAAAGCATACAAATTTGGCTCAGCTTTTGTAAATTATAACACTTTCTCACTTACATAGAATAAATACAGTGTGCACAAGCGAACAATGTTTATAATACGTATTAAATTATCGTGGAAAAACAAAATTAAAAGCTCGAAAAAAGTTAGTCGTGCTGTTTACCGACTATCAACGATTTTTTCTACCATGGCCAAAATATGTTGTTAAAAGTTACACATTTTAAAAGTTTCACTATTTTTAAAGTTTTGTTAGTTATTTGTACAAGTACATGCATGTTTGATTATATGTGTGAGTCCTGCGACAATGTTTTTCCCAGCAGAATAGTTTAGGTTGATTTTAATTATTTTTATTTTTTTTTTTAATCTCAGTGTTTGCTTATTTCAAATCCATTTAACCTATAGAGACCTACGCAGACAACAACCAGCGAAGTGTAGAAAAGTTCACTGGAGAAATACAGTGCAGCGAAATAATGTTGCAGGAAGCTTTGAGCGGATAAGCTCGGGACTGGGTGGTGGCCTGTGTGGGAGG